ACAGTCCAATTCAAAATAATTGGACAGAGTACCATGTATAGAGACCCGCTGGCTTCTTTGAGAAAGATAGGAGTGGAACCATTTGAGAGCATTCCCGTGTGAACCAGCCAGAAGCTGAACTGGGCCAGTCTGGTCTAACATTACCAATATTCAGATATTCAATATTCTTATTTTTTGTCATCATTTATGCTAGGTAACGGAGTGTATCCGCTACTGTCATCAGAATATGTCAGCCATTGTGGCCACGCCCTGTAACATGAACTGTATTAATGACAAGTTGGTCACCAGGTATGTGATAAAAACATAGAAGTGAACCAGTGCTATGTGTACATGTGGTCGGTAAAAAATGGGCCTACTTGATGGCGACAGTGAAAAGTGATAAGGTGTAAAGACTGCTTGGTCATTACATGACCGAGCTCAAAATTTCTCATCATAGCAGTTTGTATCATGCTTGTCATATCTAAACCTTTTAAATGACCTACTAACTATGATGACATAGCTTATCATATAAATTCCCAGAATCTCAGCGAGTGAGCATCAGAGTGCAAACTTGATGCTCACCTCGTGAGAGACTCAAATTTTTTTTATTTGTCCCACACCCATAAAAAAGGAAAAAAAAAAACGAATAACGTCTTTCTTTATTCTTTCCATAAGCTACATGGCAAGAAATCTATTGAGAGACTGATATAGTATCTTGAACTGGATTTATTTTTTCTCAGAATGGCAAAGCTGTTTAATCATAATGAGTTAGAAGCAATTAAAGATCGGAAAGACAAGTTTAAAAGGTGAGATGTCATTTTCTGCACACCACTAGAGTTGATAAAAATATGTCCATGAAAAGATATATTTGCTCACACAGTAGGTCCCTAGAATGGGTATACAGAGAGATAAAACAGATTTAGTTTTACAATAGACCCCGCTGACTCAAACTCCAAAAGGAAACAAAAAGTGGTTTGAGTTAGCGGAGGTACGGACGTAGTATCCGTGGCATTTTGCACATTCTTTGGCTTCAATTTATCGTTTTATCTCTATCAAGGGATGTCGTAGTAATATGTTTGTGCTTGTCAATGTTGTTCTTGTTTTGACTGCAGCAAACTGTTTTGCAAGAAAATTGAAGAACTGTTTGATCCAAGGTTCTCATCAAGTTCCACAGCAAATGCCAGCACCCTTTTCAGGTAAGGGACGGGAAATGTTTTGCAGAGTGCATTGTTTGTAATGTCTACCAAAGTAGCGTCTACCGCCAGTCAGGCGGTGTACAGGGACTCTGTGACAAAAGTTTTCAGAAACATGACTTATTCTTGTTGCTTCTAATACCTGATTGAAAAGAAGGGACCGCAATTGCTAAAAAACGTTATGTATGATAAGCTTTAAAAAAGACCTCTTTTAAAAGACACCCTTTTGTGTGCGGTGTAAAATACTTTAGGCTCAATTTCCGCTGCACTCTCAGGTCCAATCTGTTTTCGTTCCTTCCCGGGAAGAGTCTCTCTTCGGGGAGGAGCGCGAGCTCCGGGTCCCGAACAGCGGTTGCTAATCGGGTTTAAAAAAAACACTTCAGATCAATCGAAGTCTGCGGATCAAAGTCACTATCTGAGCAACTCGCACCCACCCCTCCCCTAACCCAACTTGTTCTCAGTTGGCTGTTTTTGGTTTATGGAAGGGGTGGGTTGGCAGATGCCCAGATACCGAGAGTGATCCAAGTCTGCGAGGTGTTTCTAATTTTCGTCGTGACACAAGTCATACCCTTAGTAAAGAGGCCTGCACATTCTCAGCATACATCATACTCTGTATTTTGAATTAAATTTTCACATGCTCATAATATAGATGCATCGCTTGCGGAAGGCTTCTAACGGCCGAATCCCAAGGAAAACTACGATGTGTTCCTAACAGAATGATGGTGAATCATAGAGGAAAAGTGTCTTACGTCCATTCACGGTAAAAACAGCCTTTGTGTAATGAGATGAGTTACGTGCGCATTTTGATTGGTTCTTGATTGTGAGTTATCGGAGGGCAGATGTATAGATGACGTCGCTATTAACAATGTGTGCTCCTTTATCGTATAAAACAAATAGATTCTTTGTTGCCGTGGGTCTGTAAAGTTGTAAATCATAGAAGGCGTCAAAATGTGGTGAGAACATCAGTGACACACTCTGCTGCGCCTCGCGTACCACATCTTTCTACATTTCTTTACTGAGTTCAAAACTCACCATCTTTCTTATTCTTTACAAACCATGACGATTCGACGTTGCCGATCATAGCAGTACGCCAGACGCGTGTCATGCTTAAACTTCGTAACGGGCCTTGCTCACCATAGAGTCTCTGTGACTCAGTGGTAGAGAATCGGAGCATGCGCGGGATCTGAAGGTCTGAGGTTTAATTCCTCATAGGGACTCAGAATTTTTTCTTTATCCCGCGCTCGTAACTAGACGAAAAAAACGTCTTTCTACATTTCTTTACCGAGCTCAAAACTTACCATCTTTCTTACTTGTCACTTTTCTTGTTCTTACCACTTTTTGACGCTTTCTATGTTCCATTACTGAACAGAAGCCCGGCAACATAGAATCTATTTGTTGAGAGGAATGATTTCCAGATAACCCCATACTATTCTATAACAGAGCTTGTTTCAGTTGCTTTTATCAAAGAACTGTTTTGTAAAGTATGGGGTTCCACGGAAATCTTCGTCTGCGTGTTTTCATTTGAATATCGACTGTGATTGCAATGTTCTCTTTGGGCGACGGCACCTACTTTTTTTCCCCCTCTGGAACAAGTAAGGGGCGTGTTTCCCTTAAGTGGATGGTAAAGCTTTAGTTGAAAGACTCATCTTTGTGTTGCATCTTAGTTCCTAACGGAAATAGGAGAGTAATGGGGTAAAGAGGGGTCTCCATTTTTCTTCTAAAAAGAATAATTATTGTTGGCACAGCATGGCTTTAAGTCTTCGCTTCCTACAGGGACTTTACCTGGGATGTGAATGACTACCTTCTTGGATTACGAGATGAGGTAAAATCTTGGAAAGAAGTTTACTGGAGGTAAAATTCCCTCTGATTTTAGACTACGAGCAGGCCTTACCTTTCGGCGAAGTCCGTCGCGCGTGTCCGAAAAAATCAGCAAGGACAATAAAAATTGCGAGTAGCACGCCGCTCGGAACTCTGCCCGCACTTCGTGCACCTCACTCCTAGTTTTTCGTGCGGCGCGCTAGCCAAAACAAACATTTTTTTTTTTCGTTAACTTTTTTTGACTCGCGCCACAGACTTCGCCGAAAAGGAAGGACTGCTCGTAGTCTACTTTGATGTTCAAGACCCGAAGTTTCCTAGTTATCAATTTATCACAGGCTAAAATATTCATATTATTTTCTACACAGATTATGGGGTACGGTGAACGTCCTTTATTGTCACCGCTGTGGTAACTATTTCCAGTGCTCAGAATTGGGTCATTGTAGTTATCATCCGATGACTGTGGATTTTGGAAACTTGGAGTGTGCAGCGACCAAAATAGTTGGGGTATATCCCTGCTGTCAGCAACGCGTATTGCATTTTGACCCGTCCCTAGAAGGCATTGTAAGTGACATGATTGTTTAATTTTACGTCTCGGTTGTGTAACGCTTGTGATCCCATATATTGCACTGGTCTCGTACTGTTTGAGATGCATCTGTTATGTTTAACTCAACAGGGTTGCTGTGTGCGCGATCACAAACCAACGTTAAATAAACCAGTTTCGACAACAACGGAGAACGTAGACAGCTCAGCTGAATCGAGCGATAACAAGAAAGACGACGACGTAAAAGCAGAAAATAGCGAGGAAAATGCACAGAAAGATAATGAAAAAGGTATTCACAACATTAAAAATTTGTACCTAAAGAGCATGTCACATTATTAATTAAAGATTTAACTAATGGTACAGCTTGTGAGAATTTTAACTTTTCTTGCGCTCTGGCATCTTTTTATTTCCCACAAGTAACCCTAAAATTTACAATCTTCTCTTTTCTAAGCATTTATCATCCATATTCTCTGTAGGAGAGTCATCTCAACCAGAGAAAGAAAAGTCAACAGAGGAGGAAAAGACCACTGAACAAGAACACGATGTAGTGGCCTCTGGAAAGTTACCTTTGGATGAAAATTCATTTTCTAACGAGGAGCCACCCATCACCAACATTCCAACTGTTGTGGAAGATATGTTTGCACATAGGAACGCTATCTGTTTACCATTCCGCAGATTATCAAGTGCGAGGTGATGACAGTAATAGTCCGTGCGGTTCTAGGTTTATACGCGTGTGGCAAATCATCAGAATGAACTCAGGGTGCTTCTTGCACAGTGAAATAACTTGGTCGTGACTCTTGGAATCCTTGTTGCTTACTGGTGTTGGTATACGTCATCAATTTGTTACTTAAACACGAAGGCGCGCTATATAAGAAAGTCTTCCCTGGGAAGACCTAGGCTCATTTGTCACTCACCGTGGTTCTGTCCTCGTGTACCGGTTCACAAGAGCCGATACAAAAGACCGAACAATGCACAACAGCTAACCAATGACTCCTAAACAAAGAAAGAACAATGGTAATTCCCTTGTGAACCGGTACACCAGGACAGAACCCTCACCGTTGACGTGTGCGGGTCAAATTTAAATGCTGGTAGACGAACAAAAGGAGCTAATGAGATATCTATTGTTTACTTCGACCAGCATGGTGGCATGAGGTAACGTGCGAACTACCTACTTCGATCTCAAATTTACCGCCACAAATAAAGACAGTTTCCATTGGAGAAAGGAAATACAGATCTCAAAAATTCTTGTATTGTGATGAAGACAAAACAATTTTGAGGAATGCGCCCGCTGCTCACTACTTTGGAGTAGCTGTAGCTCAAGCTGACTTGACTCTAAGAGTTCTACATCACACGACGGTTGATTGACAAATGGTCCAGTGGGACCTAAGGCTCCTTTTATAGCGCGCCTTCGTGTTTAAAGGCTTCTAAACAATTTACCGAATAGAGAAATTTTCCATCGAGAGTCGAAAGTTATCCCCCATTGCATCGGCTTTACTATGCTTCGCTGTGATTGGTCTAGATAACTCACGCAACTTTATAAACCATTCAGATGCAAAACCGAAGCACCCGCGTTTTCCCGCGCTTTAGGCAATTTGCTTGTTTCTTGTTTGACTTCTCACCGACATCAAGATATATTTTCCTTTGTTTCTATTGGGCATTATGATTATACTGCACTTTGGTTTTGGTCCGACGACACTCAATCGAAACGCGCTTTGAAGAAAGATTGAAAACTTGAAAGTCGTTTTCATTTAGACATCTCTTGTGTCTTGTACATCATTCAACTGTTCGGTTGAATACTTTACAATTTAAAAATCTCATAAAAACCTCATTGAACCCTGTTTTTACATGTGAATCAACAGGTCTTCCGAATTGAATGTGTTTGGTGCGGAGGAGTTAGCTTTAGCAAACATGAATATCAGGGACCTGGAGGTAAAACAACGCTTTTCTTTTTGTATACAATTAGCAATTGGGTTATTTTTAATGCATTTACCTTCGTTAAGAACTAATGTAGATTTGAATCGTTCGTTTTTGCTTTCATTACAGAGCAGTACGAGCGCTCTATCAGACATGATAGACCCAAGTGAACGAAAAGTTTTAGAATTTCCTACGGTAAGTGAAGAAAAAAAAATTAATTTTCTATTATCCATAATGCAATGCTATAGACTTGTACTAGTAGAGTGCATTCCAATCGGGTATCAAAACAAAAGTGACAACACCAGCCAATCAGGGCGAAGGAAATATATCAGAACGACCCACTGAGAAGTCGAAGTAAAAACAAGCGAACTGCACGAAGCGCGGGAAAATACAAGTGATTAAGTTATAATTGGTATCTGATTGGTTGAAAGAGTGGCGCGGATTTTCAAAACCAGTCACATAGCGTTGTAAAGAAAAACCAATGCAGTCCCGGTTTACTTTACTTCCAGTTGGTAGTTTCAGGTAATTGACGACATGGGGTGGAATGCCCTAGTGGAGATGATTTTGAGCTAGGTTAAGGTTCGGGGGGGGGGAGGGGAGGGTGAGGGATGGGTTGTTGAGTTTGTAAGGTGCCACTATGGTTCTCCCTCATCTATTTGGGAAAATGATGCGAAGATGTTTCTTCCCCCTGACAGTACCTACCTTCCATAAGGCGAAGCCGAAGTCGATTGGTCCATCGCAGCTCTTTTCGAAGAATGAAGCTGCAGGCCGGGAACAAAGATGACGACTATGATCTGGGAGAAGATGAGGATCAACCAGAGTCAGAGGACAATGATATGGAACAAAAACGTGAGTCAGTGACCTGTGTCTTCCCAGTGATCAGAAAGAGCAGAATTAACCTTTTAGTTCCAAACATCAGTCTGCATATTTTACCATACTGTCCTCTATACATTTCCCAAGGTTCTGACAAGCAGAATCTGTTTAACACCAAGAGTTTGTTTTAGTTGGTAATCATTTCCTTTATTCTTGTTAGTGACCTTAAAGTCTGATTCAGGGTGTGATATTGTTAGGAGAAAGAAGATGCCAGTCACTCTTAGTAGCCAAAGGGTTCAGTCAATAGCTCTCCCTTTGTGTGGGAGACGGAAGGCATCATGATTGGCTCGCTTAACTCTTCAACGGTCAAGATCCTAATAATCACTTCCCTTACTGAGAGTCATACATTTTAGCTTTTCTTTTCTTGTGACCTGTTTTATTTTTTGTTTTTTTTTGTTTTTTTTCAAATAACATATTAGAATCATGAAGAGAAGTTACGTATTATCTCTTCTTGGAGTAACACGGCTAAGATCTGACAGATGGATCCGTGTTTAGGTCCACCCTCGGGCTGATTTCATTGAGTAGTGTTCTTGTTCTTGGGTTCGAAAGGATCATGGAAAACTTTGAAAGTCGTGGAATTCAACCGAGTATTATTTTCCAGGCCATAAGAGTTTTGGAATTTGAGTGTGGATTATGGGAAATCATGCAAAATTACAAAAATTTAACTTTTGAAAACATAGAAAATATGACAAAAAGTCGTGGCATTTTATGGAATAGTATGGACCTCTACGCACTTTACAATGCCAGTACCTAGCTACAGCCAGGGTTACAGATGGGTACCGGCGAAACGTGAGGGAAACATTACGTGATGCTGGGAATTTACCTGCGACGGATTGGAATCCCGTTTTGTCACAGAAAAGCAAGTTATTGCTATGATTTTATTCCCCTTAAACTTAAATTTAACCAAGATATTTAATTTTTATCTCTTAGTCTCAGTATCTCGGGAAAAACTACGACCTCCGCGGAAAGTCACCTCTGCGTCCAGAAAAGAGTAAGTTGTATTTGTTACTTTGAGCCCTTGGGATGATCCGAGTGTAACCTCTCCTTGAAGAAGAAGGATTTTGGTTGTGTCACGGTAAAATTAAATTTACCTGTTTCCCCCCCCCAATGCTCCGTAATGAACCCCCCTTCCACTATTGTCAGTTGATTGGCAGTCAATTTTCTACTCCCCCTTCATACTCTGTTGGCGTTGACTGCCTCCCCCCCCCTCCCTTCTTCTGAAAACCATGATACCAAAATCCTCCCTCCCCCTCTCCCTTGGCTATAAATAATGACTGGTCCCTCAGAGCTAATGAAGTTAATTTGTAGGTTCGTTCTTAAAATGGGAATACTGTCCTTGTAAAGTTCATTGGTGATACTGTGACAATTTTACTGATCACTTTTCATTTAAGTTTCAGTACGTTTAAAAGTTATAAGTGGGACCCACAACGATCTGTGCGATGGAACCAGGATGCACAGCGTGAAGAAGATCAAAAGCGCATGACAGAGTTGGTGTCCTATTTGGCACGACAGCGGGCTCACACGCCACAAGAGAAAAACGATAACAAACAAAAACCAAAAGAAGTAAGACTACTTTGATTTGATTATCGTTGTTTTTTATGTGCAGTGTTTTGTGTGTATTCTTCTTTAGACAATTTCATTTTGAACACCCGCAAGAGATTTCACAATCATAAACGATAATTTAATTTGTTTTGTTTTGTAGTTTGTGGGAGGTATTTTCTCCAAGCTGGACATTCAGTTTCGTGCATCACAGCAGGCCGTTTTATCAAAGACACAGTCCAGCGGGCCACAAACAGGATCCAGGTACGCTCAGGTCGAAAAAACGTCACTCAAAATGGATATGTTTACTCAACCCTTTTCCGCTGGATAGTGATCAGTCCGTTGAATAGGGTTGTTCGCCCTTTGAATAGCCTGTTCCCAGGCGTCCAGTCAGTAAAACCGGAAAAAGTGGAGGAGTGAAAAAGCTAGCGGGAAGTTTGGGTGCGATCGGGTAACCTTCATACGCGACTCGACCCATACCCCCTGGTTTTTTTCACTCCTCCGCTACTGTTCACTCACTGTAAGCCTGGAACGGGCTACCCTTTGAACAAATGGGCCCTTTTTCTTGGTCCTCTGCATTGTCCCTTTTTATAAAGACCGGTGGATGATTTATTGCTTTGTAACTGTTCTTTTCTATTTGTACTTCTTGCCACAGTCAAAGAATTCGAAAGATTCAACTGAAAGTAACCACTTGATGCCATGGAAAATGAAATACAATTTGAAAGGCAATTTAATTTATTCTTCGTCGCTTGTAGTAATGTTCAAGTTTAGTCATATTTTTAATGACTACACGTTTTGTAGAGAATGTGTATAATAAAAGCTTTTCTTTATTTTCGTCCGAATTCTCTTTTTATTATTGTCACCTTTCTCGCTAATCGCTGAAATGGGGACCATGCGTTACACTTCTGTCCTTTCTGTTCTACGCTTTGATGGGTTTTTGGGGGCAAAAAAAATTACAAAAAGATTAACGAAAGTCGGTGTTGGTTGAGGCAACGTTTGACAAAATCGAAGCAGTGTTGTCTTAGTATTTTCGAGAGACAGAACTTACTAAATAAGAGTTGATTCTCGCGAGTTGAAAAAGAGGACTGGAGACTTACGCACGACTCGATTCTTTAACTCCAAGGAGTGACCAAGGCAGAATTTCTCCTTACAATATCAATTCCATATCAAGCAGACAAGTTATGAGAATAAGAAAAAATATTATTAAGGGTATTATTATTTGATCTAATACCAAGTTCTCCCAATTAACATCATAAGAATTGTATGCCAGACAGTAAGAAGAATCACTTATGAGATCTTAGGGGTGAAAGTTAACATTCAGACATGTGACGCCCAACATTAACAACATAAAAAGACCTTTAAGAATAGAAATTGAAGAAGCATAGTTAGGATCGTTGATTTCGTGCTTACGATCATGAATCCCGACGTGTGAGCTGCACAAGGATGGGGGTAAAACACCACCGTGTGACAGTGCACTGCCGAAGGAACATCTTCAGAAGAGCGAGGATCGAAATGTTCCGATCACGGCTGTTGAAAACCGAACCATCAGAGCGGAGCATCCTGTTTCTTTTTCGAGTTGAACACCACACGTGAAGGCATACAGGCACTACAAGACCGTTCGTTCGATTTGTCCTTGCACTGATCAGTTGAAGGAGTGGGCGTGATACCAAATTTCCACTCGAATCATCGCGATCCCCTCGCACCAGTAGGCCTAGACACAAAAAGCCGGATTTTTTTTAGGATTTTTAGAGCATCAGGAGATTTTTAGAAAAAAATGGGATTTGGGGGGATTTTTAGATGATTTGGAACAAAAACTGTTCTATATTCTTTGCAGTTTTATCTAAAATTCCTATGAAATGAAAATTTTGTCAAGGACTGATATAAGCCGACTACACGTTCTTGAGTGTGAATGCTGTCTCAGTTTTCAAAAGCTTTTAAATTTACACACGAGCTAGCAGCTGATTTTGCACTCCTGGCATGGAACACTGATCCATTTGAGTGCCTTTTGTTTAATAACAGTGCTATCTAGAGTACAAAATGTGTTTGCCGTTTTCTTTTCAAGGGAGACCTAAGGTTTCATTAAAAAATAATTGTGAGAAAAATAGAGATTTTTAGAACATTTTGGGATATTTAGGGATTTATAGAAGCTTTTGGGGATATTTAGAGATTTTTGGAGGAATTTTTAGGGAAAATGTTGACAATTTCCGGATAGATTTTTAGAGCATTTTTCGGGCTATTTGTGTCTAGGCCTATGCACCAGATGTAATTATATCTTAGACAATAACTGCTTTTGGTTGGTTTACTTGACAACAATGGATAACATCTCTTTTGCCGAAGGGGTTGTTCTAATTACTAGATAGGCTACTTGTTTCGATTCCGCTTGAGCATAGTTAGTAGTGAAGTTTGCCGACTGAAGTTTGCCGCGTTTCCTAACCAGTCCCCTCTACTAACTATGGCTTGAGCAACCAGTCGTTAAAGTGTGCGGTTGCTACTCATAATATATTTTGAATAATACTACATGCTGATTTCCAGCGTCACACTTAGTATTTCGCCAAAACAATATTTTTTTCAACGATGTCTTCATCGATTTTACATCGAATATCTCGTCAAGTTATAGAATGTGTAAAGCGATCGTACAGATTACAACCCACAATAGCAAAATTCAGTTTTCCTCAAACCGGTACTCGCGTAATTCAGGTTCAAACAAAGACAGAATTTACCTCTGCAAATCAAGAGCTAAAATTCGCTCAAGGGAACGGAAAGGGTGCATCGGACTCTGAACTAACTTTCGAGTGGAGTCAGCTTCAGACTACATACCAACCTAAAAGAAATGGGGAGATCTTACGCGCGATGTTTGTGCTGAAGATATGTTCCTATGACACTTTCGTCCGCAATAGTATGCAGGCAAGTGTTGATCCAATACTTTGACTTGAGAGACAGTTTGTCGTAAGACTTTTCGAAGTATTTATAGTTAATATAGAAACATTCGACGAAAACACGATTATCGAAAAAGAAAATCGCTAAATCGTTAAAGAGAGAACGTAAAAGAGGGATTGATGCTGTGTTATTCGAATGCAAATTGCACGATGCAATATTGAACAGGTCTGTAAAATTGGCGTTACGACATTTGCATAATCAGTTACTGGTAAAGTTATCGATTTGATTCTAGAGAACATTAATATTATCAGCAATCAGCAAAGGGTATTGGTTGCACTGATTCCTTTATTTTCAACGTCAGTAAGAGGCTTGACCAATTTAGTCTGATCTGTCGTGACGGGGCAAGCTACTATCGGTGCCGAGGCAGAAAAAATTTCTATAAGGTATTCGTTCGATGGGTAGAATCAATTAGGCAGCTTAGACTGAGAATGAGAAGAGTGAGTAGCAGTTATCACTGAGTTCCCGAGCTGAGAAATTTAAGGAACGTAGAGAGAGAGTTTTCCCTTGTGGGAGAATCGAAGACATCGCACATATTCCTTGTGAAGGAAAACGTAACGTAATCCCTCATTGATTCTGTAACCTGTGCAAAGGTTGAGCGGTTAAAAACTCATCGCAAAACGATGAGCGAACTAATTATAAGGATAAAGCGAACTAATTATAAGGAATAACTTGGATATATCAACAAAGTTGAAGTGGTAAATTGGCCACCGTAACGATTACAAAAGCTGACGTTTCGAGCGTTAGCCCTTCGTCGGAGCAGAGTTAATATATTAATATTAACTCTGGTCGGAGCGAATAGAGGAATTGTGGGAAGGTGTAGTATGATCGTCCGGGTGAGTGTAGTCCTGAGAAGGACTGTTGTCGGTGGCAGTGACTGACGTTTCGACAACCTGTGCGGAAGTCATCATCAGAGTCAAGTGAATGATTATTGTCAGTAGAATGTTCTTATTCCAGTTCGTGTAAAATGATCGGTTGGTTTTGCCGTGATGTTATTGGCTGTAAGACTCAAGTGACGTAAGTCGGTCGTGATTGGTCTGTTTCGATCTGTCGGTAAAGTTAGGTCGTTCTTTTTCGGTCGTTTGTGATGTTTATGTCGTGAATGAGTCGTTTGTATGGAGCGGGTAGTTGTTGACATCTGTTTAGGGGAGTCTGTTCTAAGTTAGTAAACCAGCTTTCCAGAGTCAGTCGTTGAAAATAGTCAGTGCTGTAGGTTAGGCATTGCGCAGAGTCCCAGTCAATGTTGTGGTTGGTAAGTCGATGGTGTTCAGCAATGTGATTGCTGACATCACCTTTCCTCGTCGCCCGTCTGTGTTCAGTCAGTCTTGTTGTGAGGTTTCTGCCAGTCTCACCGATGTAGGAGGCTTGGCAGTCGGAACAATTGATCTTATAAATCGTTCCCTGTCTGTTCCTCGGTTCGTCTTTGTCTTTAACGTTGGTTAGTAACTGACGTAGTGTGGTGATGGGTTTGTGGGCGACGCGGATATTGAAGGGTAGTAAGATGCGCGAGATGTTTTCAGACATGCCTTTTATGTACGGTATGGTTGCTGTAGTCGTAGGGGTTGCGGTGTCGTTTGTTTCGGTAGTGGTAGTGGGTCGGTGAGTGTTTCGTCGGATGAAGTCGTTGTTGTAGTTGTTCTTCGTAAAAACACGGTGAAGGTATTTGTTCTCGTCGGATAAGCTGTCTGTCGAGTCACATACTAGTTGTGCGCGTCGTGTTAGAGTTCTGATAGTTGTGGCTTTGTGTGATGTAGGGTTGTAGGATGACTCGTCTAGTAATCTGTCGGTGTGTGTCGGTTTCCTGTAAACTGTCGTTCGTAATGAGTTGTCGTTGTGGCTTACCAGGCAGTCTAGAAAAGGAAGTTTGCCATTTTCTTCGACTTCTCTGGTAAACTGTATGTCAGTGTTTTGTTCGTTAAGGTGGTTGTGGAATGCGTCAATTTCGTCGTGTCGAACGGCGGTGAATGTGTCGTCAACGTAACGTAACCAAAGCGGTATCGTTTGTCGGCAAGTCGAAAGGGCGCGTTCCTCGATGTTCTGCATCACAATTTCTGCTATAACAACAGAAACTGGAGACCCCATGGCAGTGCCGTGTAACTGTTTGTAGTGTTTACCGTTGTACTGAAAGTAAGTAGACGTTAGGCAAATGTTTAGCAAGTCCATGATGTCGTCTGTCGGTAGCGGTAGTGG